TTAATATAAAATATCTTTTAACAAATATTTATTAATTAATATAAAAATAGTTTTTACAAAAATAGTTTCTATAAAACCCTAAAAATTAAAATATATATATATATATATTTATTAATTAAAATAAAATTAGTTTTTATAAAAAGAGTTTCTATAAAATTCTAAAAATTACCTAATAAAATCAATCATCACTTTCAAATTACCTAATAAAATTCAAATTACAAATTAAAAATTACCTAATAAATCTATACTATTATTAAAAGAGTTTTTATAAACTCTAACACAAAATATAAACAAATATCTCCACTTTCAAATTACCTAATAAAATTTAAATTACAAATTACCTAATAAAATTCAAATCACAAAAAGAGTTTTTTAAAAAAGAGTTTCTATAAAACTATAAAATATTTATTAATTAGTATAAAAAAATCTATACTATTATTAAAAGAGTTTCTATAAAACTCTAACACAAATTACAAAAAAAAAATATTAATTAATTAATATAAAATATTTTTTATAAAAAGAGTTTCAATATAATTATAAAATATTTATTAATTAATCTAAAATATTTTTAATATAAACTAGAAAAGAGTTTTTATAAAAATAGTTTCTATAAAACTCTAAAAATTACCAAATAAAATCAATCAGCATTTTCAAATTACCTAATAAAATTCAAGTTACAAATTACATAATAAATCTAATTTCTATAAAACTCTAACACAAAATATAAAAACAAATTACCTAATAAAATTTAAATTACAAAGATAGTTTTTATAAAAAGAGTTTCTATAAAACTACAAAATAATTATTAATTAATATAAAAAGAGTTTCTATAAAACTCTAAAAATTAGCTAATAAAATCATTCACCACTTTTAAATTACCTAATAAAATTCAAATTAAAAATTACCTAATAAATCTATACTATTATTAAAAGAGTTTCTATAAAACTCTAACACAAAATATAAAAAAATATCACCATTTTAAATTACCTGATAAAATTCAAATTATAAAATACCTAATAAAATTCAAATTACAAAAATAGTTTTTATAAAAAGAATTTCTATAAAACTATAAAATATTTATTAATTAGTATAAAAAAAATCTATACTATTATTAAAATAGTTTCTATAAAACTTTAACACAAAATATATATATATATATATATATATATATATATATATAATTTGTTAATTAATATAAAAAGATTTTTTATAAAAAGAGTTTCTATAAAATTATAAAATATTTATTAATTAGTATAAAAAGAGTTTTTATCAATAGGGTTTATGAAAATAGTTTCTATAAAATTCTAAAAATTACCTAATAAAATTAATCACCATTTTCCAATTACCTAATAAAATTCAAATTACAAATTACCTAATAAATCTATTTTATAATCCATTAATGGAAAACGTTATTATAAATCTATTTTAAAATCCATTAATGAAAAACCTTATTATAAATCTATTTTATAATCCATTAATGGAAAACCTTATTTTATTTGACCATTATTACTCTCTAAATATGAATTCATTTAATATATGACAATATCATACAACAAAATTATAAACAATTAAAAAATATAAAAAGAAAAATATAGAAAGAAAAATTTGATAAGTTACAAAACATTCACCACGTGCAACGCACGTTCCTTTTCCTAATATATAATATATATATATAGTCCCATTATGGTATGCCAGGAGCAATATACGTAACTTTTATTTCAGTGGATTACATCCAAGGATTGAAATTGAAAACCACTAATATTCTTTGTTTGTACTCAATTTGAGTGTTTTAAATAAAATAGAATACCTTTTAATAAAGAGGTAAAATCAGCTTCCTACACCCTCGTGTTTGCTTATGAAATAGCCAAATGGTTTTTCTTTTACGAGGGAGACGCTGATTGTTTCCTGTGCAGTGATTTTGGTAACAACATTCCCTTTCGTACCTCAACCTCCCAAAACATCCTCTTGCCTGTGATGAATTTGACATTATTAACCATTTCCTTTATTTGGGGAATTTGTGTTTTTGTGTGTTGCAGTCAGGGCATGCTTACGGGTGGATTTGATTGTGTCTAAAACTTTATATTCTTCTTTTGATGAAACTATTGCACATTACATATTATAAAATTATATTCTTCTCTATTAAGGATTATTAAGGATAAGTTGACTTCAAAACTATTCAATTTGAGTGTTTTAAAACACCTTATAATAAGGAGGTATTAATAATAATTAAAATAAAAAATACTTCTATTTATAATAAAAATAAAAAATAAATACTTCTACTAAAATTGTTTGGATATAGAAGAGTGAGAGTAGTTGAGTGGTTTTGGAGTTTTAAAAAATCACAAACAAACAATATTAGTTGTTTTCAATTTCAATTATTAGATGAAATCCAACTGTATATTTCTCCCAGCACACCATAGAGCAACTACGGGATTGTATATATATATATAAGCTTGATTTTTCCAAAAAAGAAAAAAATTCTTCTCATGAAGTTAGGTTGGTTTTAGCTGCTACATTCTAAAAAAAATAAAAAATAAAAAAATTAATTTCAGCAGCTGTCTATCCCCAGAGATACAGGTTTCCATATAAATTAATAAATTTGAAAAAAATCAGCGTCCTTTTAAGAGAATTGAATATTTTCCACATTTACAAAATGAAAGAAAGCTTCTCAATCATTTTTCAGGATCATACAAGACGATTACATATTCTAGCATCCAAGAAAATGTCAGATCCAAAACCACAGGGCATATTAATAATTTGAATTATACAAAATCTAGAGAAAAAGGGCAATGTTCAAATATATATATTTTTATTTCTCTTATTGTTATTGTTTTTGAGAGTGAGATAGATCATTAGTTTTGTTTATTATACCAATTAACAAATGCTTATCAAAGTAATAAATGAATATTAGTGATCAAAATAGTCCTTACTCCTTACAAATATGCAATTTGAAATATAACACAAATAGACATATACACGATATTTTAAAATGAATCCCATTATATTTGACATATGAATAATCACATAAACTCAATGAAATAGTAAATTTTTATTTATCGGGCCAAATAGCAAGACTCTATCTCTTATTATCATGGATAGAGGCAGAATAGGATCAGAGGGTACGTGCCCCTATATTTTTTCCTGTTGTATGTATATATTTTTTGAAAATATGTAAAAATGTCCTCCTAAAATTTTTCTTTCCCTTATATACCATATATGTTTCCTTAAATATTTTTTCTTAAATTGTTTCATTATATTCTATATATATGTAATTTATTAATTTATCTCATCCCAAAAATATAATTCTCTCTCTATATATACCATAAACACCAAGTTATATGTATTTGGTATATAATGTATCAAAATAAAATTTTGGCTCCATCCCTGCTTATGATAAGCTACATGGCTACCAGTAAGCAAAATTATTTATTTATATACTTGAAAAATGGCATAATTAACCATTTCAGACAAAATAATGTAGTAGGAGTTTTGAAAAGTCTAAAAACAAGTCACTTCTTCCAGGAATATTAGACCATAATTTGAAAGCAGGTGCTACCTTTAGTCTGCATAAGAGCATCCCAAAGCACACTCCACACTTGACTATACGCGTGAACAATTGTGTTTATGAGGTTCTACACTTAATTTAGAGATTCTAACTTAAAATTTTAAAATTATATTATATTGTATTATTATATTATATTTAAAATTTTATTTATTAAAAAATAAATATTTTCTTTTTTAATTGTTTATTTGTTTGTTTGTTTTTTTGGTAACTATTCTCAACAAGTATATTGATAATGACTATAATTCTTTGCTTGATTATATGTTTTGAAATTTAAAAAATAAAAAATCAATGATATTACATCTATAAATAAAAAATGCATTACATAACTTCGTACAAATAAAATAAAACAATAAAATTCAAGAAAAAATATATATTAATTCTTTTTCACGTGTAAAAAAAATATTAGACATTACAATTAATCACGCATATACAATAAAACTTAAATAAATACATAACATATATAATACAATAAAATAACTATTTTACACACCACCACACAATCAATCTTCCATTTAAAATTATTAATCAAACACAAGGCCGATGTCAGTCGCTACTACGTTATACAGATTTGGCGTATGAAGTGTATAATGTGCATAACAAACCAACTCATTCGCTACAGAATTGCATATTATTCAAAAGTAGTATTTAAAAATATTTATACTTGTTTGGAAAAATAAACTTTCTAAAAAATTCGTCATTGTCTTTGGAGTGGACTTCCCACCACTAACTTTTATATAAAATTCTTGTTTTAAAAAAATAATAATAAAATAAAATAAAGACTTTCTAAAAAAATCCTTAATTGCGAAAAACGATTATCTTTAATTTCATCTCAACAAATTTGGAACTTTTCTTTTCGGTCGTTAAAAATCAATAAATAAAAATATATTCTTAAATAATACGTGGTACTTGTAACACTTCTCAACACAAAATGTTTATATAAATCCTCAAATTTTGTTATTCCATTAATTTTTCCTAGTGATTTTAGGATGGCTGCGGCCCCTGTATACTTTTGAGCATATGGATAACCCAAGAAAAGACAGGTGGCTCTGGCATCAAATTTGCTTTAGAAGTCCGCGAAAACATGGGTAATCAGTTGCACATGAAAGGATTAAAATCATCAGCCTCTGTGTAATGGTGTTTCTGGCCACTCCTACCCATCAGGAACCACATAATAGAGTTTCAAACAATGGGAAATGTACAAAATTAACCAGGAAATTTTAAAAGGACATAAAAAAAATGTTTGCACATAGAAAACTGAGAGCACACTCCAATATTTAAAAGGTATGTTTGCACATAGAAAACTGAGAGCACACTCCAATATTAAAAGGTGCTACTGGTGTGTATAACTATATCTCTATATATATATATATTGGTTTGTTTGTGATATGTGATAGAACATAAGTTGACATGCCAATTTAAATATCAAAACTTAACCAAAGATCCCTATATATTCTCCCCAAATACCGGCATTTAACAGGCAGCTAATTCAGTGATGTACATTATAAAACAAAAATACTAAACATCAAGTCCGCAACTACGTTACATACAACCAAATCCCACAATCACCTTAATTTGTCCCATCACGTGATGTAGCAGAACATATCCACTCCCAGGAGTATTGACAATCCCCTACAATACAATCAAGGACAAGCCTTGTAAATAAGAAAGGAAAAAGGTGGAAAGTGGTAGATGATGGCAAGAATAAAATTTAAATTATAATTGTTATAGCTTCTCAAAAATTCTTCAAGAGTCCTAAACATGTAGATTACACAAATATTCCTAATTAGTCAGGTCAAATACGAAGATATTACCAATTTGTACAAGTGTATATTTCAAACAGAAGAGGTCAGGTACTGCCTAAGGTGTTACTTGATACCCATTAATACTCACCCAATGTGCAAAACAGATAACTAGAAGGTCTAAATGACATATATCATAGATTTGATCTTGCCATAGTCTGCATACATGAAAAAGACAGTATTAGGGGGATACACGTTTCCTTAATAACAAAAAGTAAAACAAAAAACAAAATTCAAATAAGAATTTTTGTATTATAAAGTTTAAAAATTTAATATAACAACAATAGCAAACAACAAATTTCCCAATTGCTTAGAATTGACTACGTGAATCCTATTTTTCCATTTCTACTCTTAGGATTCATTTTTACACTGGTGCAAAGAATTTACAATGGTTGTCAAGCTACCTTATGTAACCCTCCTCCTTTACCCGGGTCTGAGACCGACAGTATAAAGGTAAGGCACTATATAGGACACAGACTAGTATAAAATTTATAGAATGTTGAACGCAATTTGCTTAGGCCCCAAACCAACCACCATGACAAGGCCATTATACGTGCTTACCATCACGTATATCGTGTATTGGTAATTACGTTTTTTTTATTTATTTGAACCCGTTATCATTTGGGTGAAATTCAAAGGTACAAAGTTGATATTTTATTTTATACCACATCATTTTGCTAGGCAAGGACTTAAAAAAGACAGAAAATAGACCGAAATTATCATTGCAAAAGTTCCCCAACATAACAATGTGATCATCTCAATAAGTTTTGCACCAGAATTTTCCTCCAAAATCAGTTTGTCTTCTCTGCTGAACAAAAGGATAAAACTACAAACTGAAAAAAAAAAAAATAATAATAAATAAATAAAAATGAACTCCTCTAGCATTCCTATGGATTTTTCCTGACATTGGGATCAAACTAAAGCGTCTTTTAAGAAAAAATTCAGACAGCCCAAACTTGAATGGATGGCTCATTTCTCCGGTTCAACGTGTCACCACTAAATCTTGGTCCCACAAAAAGTCCACGAGATGATTAGCAATCACCTCAGCAAATCACATCCATTACCGATAAGCATATGAGACTATTGTCACAACTTGATCCTGATACCATGCACAATCATATGTACACCCCTAAAACTAGTGCAATTCAACATGATGAATAAGAATATGGTCCGCCCCATTTGGTCCAAGCGAATTTGAACCTCTTCCCTTCATGCGGTAACTGTTTACCGTGATCCCTGCATCCATTGCAAGTGTTGCCTTCAGAACATCAGCCTGTAGTTACTGTTATTCACATGAATGATAGAACATCAATAAAACATGGAAACTCATCGATTGAACCCACAAGTTTAGTGAGAACACAAGCACAAAAGAAACTCTTTTAGACATTTAAAAATTAATTCCCTACATTGAAATATAACAAAAGATCAGATATATAAGATTCAAGGTGATGCAACACAAAAATAACAAGAGAAAAAATGATGCCTTCCAATAATTCTTTTACCCTTCCAAGGAACATTAAAAGATCAAATTAAATGTTGCAAATTAAAAATTTCCAACAACTTCTAGCTAAATTTCGGAATGAGATTAGACAAGATTGGATGAAAAAAAGGGTAAACTTGAACTAATGAGGAATAAAATGAACACTTCTTCGCCATTGTGATGCTGGAATATATATATATATATATATATATATATATATATATATATATATGGATATACGTACAAAACAGTACATATAGTCAAATGATAAAGAAAAAGAGCAATAAAATCATGTAAAAACCTCAAATCATTTATTCAAATCCTTTGATGATGGGGACAATAGGTGGTCCATAAAGCCCCTGAAATATCAACTGATACAAGTTAGAAAATGATGACATCTCCACTCACAAACCATAAGTTACTAAAGTTAATGAATTCATATGGAATCCTTTCAATAGATTAATGAATTTGTATGGACTTGATCAATGGGGGTACCTAGTTTATTGTGTTCCAGTTGGCAATAACAAGAAGAAACCAAAGATTTAACATGTTAACAATAAAACGAGACAAGTTAAGAATATATATATATATATATATATATATATAGAGTGAGATAAAGAGAGACCTCTTGCACCATATCTTTTTGCCCCCAAGGAAAGAGCCCGCCTCAGACAATGAGACCAAAAAACCGGTTTCTGTAACTTATTTTTCATCAGATGATTTGACTTGCAAAGTTTCAGGAGTGGGCGAATCCAAATGTGGATCCATGAATCAACAGATGTTCTCCAGCTGTTTCTCGTATCTGTGTGTTAAAAGACAATGCATAAAATAAATAATAGTAGAGTAGTAAATATAATTCATAAGAAAATCAAGATTTGTGAGCTGAAGAATAGAGACGTGAAACTATTCAATATGCATTTATATTCAAACATCTTCAAATTTCTACTTTTATGATCTAAAACTAAAACGGTTGAACAAAAGTTCTTATCTATTCCTTTGCTTTACATATGCTGATTTTTCTGTTATTTTCCATTCGGTTTATTTGTACTAATGTTCTCATAATCCTTCAAGTAGGCTCTGAAACTGAAGTTACATGTTCAGCAAATCATTACACTTGATCACCAAATCACATAATATTGGCAGTTTTTAAGAATTTTATCTACAATTGGCAACTACCTTCATTTGTCTCCATATGGTATTATATCTTGAATAGTTCAGGAACAACACAAAAATATCAGTGCACTTTCTGAAACACTTGATTCCAGCTTCTAGAGTTCCCCTCTGTCTATATTCTATGTCAGATGCATTGCTTGATTCGGCAAACACAACCACTGGGCGTGTAAGTTTGTGGCTCTCCCTCACAAGAGTACATTATGGGCTAGAATTAATGTGAATAGTTTATCTTGCATTTAAATAAAATCAGATACTTTATCAAAACTCATTTTGAGAAAGATCCATCAACATATACTTAAAAGCTGCCCTATGAATCTATGATAAGGAAACCATTTATTACATGGTTCATATATATTCAGGATAAGAGAATTTATGTCTCACCCATTCATATGGGATTAAGGCAAGAACAATGATGATGATATGTTCAACGGAACTTCTTCTTCAAGGTTCCTAGGAGATATAATTAAACTTATGGGTTTCAGGACATCTATACTCAATTTGGTAGCATGGAATTTGTATCTTGCACTAATTTTTTGTTTAATTTCAATTCCAATTCCAATTCCAATCCATTGACTCCATGCTTGTAGATGCTTCTATAATGATAAATTAAATTTTTTTTTTTTTTAATAACTCTAAGGTCAGAGAATTAGAATGCGTAAGATACATACATGTTGAATATGTGCCGGTGACTACTCTGTATACACATTTACATATGTAGAGATGTATCTAACCACTGGGAGAAAGCAATAGAACCTCAGATAAGCATAAATCTCTGAATGGTTGAGTTCTTTATCAGGACCCAATAGAATATACCGGCCATCAATACAAGGTGTGAATTATGAAGGACTCCATTTCAATAACTTCAATCCATGTCTCTCAAGCTCTAGTTCTCTTTTCACAAACAGTGACTAATCAAAAACTTAAAAGGAAACATAAAATTTGTGATTGGTGAAGATTGGAGATTAAATTATGCATAAAATTATTTAGTAATCAAGAAATCAAAGAACAAACAGTGACTAATCAAAAACTAAAAAGGAAAAAAAATTCGTGATTGGTGAAGATTGGAGATTAATAAACGACATTATAAGTACATTTTATGCATACAATTGTATAGTGTGAAACGAAAGGAGGAATGTAGGGACTATACTTGATAACGGAGGGGCGGAGGAGGCTTTGGAGGTAGCTACAGCAAGTGTGAACCACTGGGCATCTAAAAGTCTCTCATATGCAGGCAGATTGGTACATATTAAATCAGTATAAATTTCCACAGAGATGTATCGGTCCAATATTTTCATTCTCCCAAAGAAGGTAATTGATGATTTCAACACCTTACTGAGGGGATTCTTATGGTATGGACCTGAGATGAAGAAATCTGGAGCTAGAGTTGCATGGGGTCAGTTCGTAAATCTAAAGCTGAAGGTGGGTTAGGGTTACCAAACTTGGAGACAGCCAACAAGGCTGCCATTATGAGGCACATTTGGAGTCTTAAAACAGGTAGTAGTCAGAGAATTTGGGTATTATGGTGCAGGTCATACCTCTTCAATGACTGCAATTTCCGGACAAAGAAAATTCCACAAGTGTGCCCATCGAGTTGGAGGAAATTTTACAGCTCAGGCCTCTTGATAGGAAGATGATAAAACACAAGGTGATGAATGATGAGAACACGTATTTCTGGACTGATTACTGGCTCAATGGCGGTCCTTTGATGGATCAGTTTACTGAAAGTACAATGCGTGCAATGGGTTACACACTCACCACTAAAGTATGATCCTACATCCAACACACAAATTGAGTATTTCCACAGCAGGTAACTTTATCATCCCTGAGCTCTCATTGCTTCCATCTCCGGTCATTTCAACACCAGACAAAATCATTTGGAGTGCAGGTCCTAGGGGAGATTACTCACTCAACATACACTATGTGCACTCCCTCCTGAACCCTTAGTTGCTCACTGGTCACACCTGATATGGGATTCAATTTCCATACCAAGGCAAAAGATGATACTTTGGATTGCTATACAGAATCGATTGCCAACCTTGGATAGCAAGATCATGTCAAAAATTTGAGCCCAAATTATGTCTCCTATGCTCTTCCAAACCGGAATCACACTCTCACCTATTCTTTGATTGTGATGTCACTGCGCCAATATGGAGATTCATACAAGATAGATGCATATGTTACACAGGAAGTGATAATTGGCCCCAATTTGTCAGTTGGGCTAGTCAGCATTGGGTTAATAGAAACCCTAGAATCATGATCTGTAATCTGGCTCTTACAGTCATGATCTACACTATATGGCAAGAAAGGAACAACAGACTTTACAAGAACCTACCTTCATCGCAATCAAAGATGCTGAAGCTTGTTGCGAAATCCATTGCAGGATCACTCAAGAATTCGAAGAAAGAACCTATCTCTGCTCTTGCAAGGGAATGGAGCTTGATTGCTGCTACTCTCCGGCCACCGCCGCTACCTCCGGACTGATTGTGTGGGTGATCAATGTCATCACCATCTTCTCTTGATCACGAATTGACATCCATTGCTAAATGCTATTAAGCAGTTTTCAACGGCTGTTTCTATGCTTGATTACTAGGAGTAACCGTTCTAGTTGGGGTTTGGGTCCTCGGTGTTTTTGGGTTCACTATTGTGTTCATGGACTTGGGCCTGCTGTTGTTGTATAATCTTTGGGCCGCCTGTTGTTGGGCTTCTTGGCCAAACTGTATACATACAATATTGACAGCATTGCAATGGGTTCACAAAAACACTAATTTTGATCGTAGGTGAGGACAATGGTCACACCAAATTTGGAAAGAGAGGAAATGAGAAGGATTGATATTATAATTTTTGTTTTTATTTTTTTTCCTGATAATTTTTAATTTTGTTACACCTTAATGTTTTTAGGGGAATAAAGTATCTACTCACCTGAAGTATATAATATAAGGAAGGTATAAAAAATAAACAAATAGTCTGGAATTACAAAATCAGGAAATGTATAAATAAGAAAATAGAGAAGTGACCGAATTTATTTCAAAAGAAAAAATTATTATCCTTATTTATTATTTTTTTGATTTTATAAATACAAACAGTGTGTATTTGTGATTGAAACACATCAGCATTTAGTAAGAATGATCTACTCATCGGTGAGTAGGCAAATAAGGACAATGCTAATAGGTTTAATGACAAAATTAGCAAAATAATTTGCATCAATGCACAGCAACCCGTCCTAGTTTCAGCCCAGTGTTTTGTACAATATCATCTCGGATAATACTTGCCTACTCACCGGTGAGTAGCAAACTTATACTCACCACACACGTGGCGCAATGCTAAACTGACAAGTGTCCTTGCATTTAAAATAATAAAAAATAAATTTTTTTTTTAGCTATATGGGATAAACCCAAATGAATCCGAATCAATTCTAACCCACTTTAGTATTGTAGAATTACTTTTTATTTAGTTTTGTACACCTAAAATAGACTTATATATAACCATCAAAAGTATACTTTTTATTTAGTTTTGTATATCTAAAGTAGACTATATGAGAGGAGAGATAATTAGAATTTGATTCGAATTCATTTGGATTTACCTCAAACAACTATCAAATTATTTATTTTTTATTATTTTAAATGTAAGGATACTTGTCAGTTTAGCATTGCGCTACATACATGGTGAATATAAATTTCTTACTCGCCAATGAGTGGGCAAGTATTATTCCCTTGTCTTTCGCCTTATAGCCCTCCTTGTTGCACACAAATAACCCGCGGTGTAAAATTCCCATGCTTTGCCTTCTAATTCAAACTCCATCCCTATCTTTGGGATGGAATTAACATCTCTCGGGAAGTCACTTGCTATGATTACTACTTCCATTGTTGGTAAGATCTCATCACTACTTAGGACAGAAATTTTCAATTTTCAATTGGGGCCAAGATATAAAGTTAAATTTAATAATTTTTTTTCTTGTACAAACAATATGAGAAAAATAAATAGAAAAGAGATTAGTTAACAATTCATTAATAAAGTTGTTATTGTCCAGTTTTTTTAGAGAGTACTAATACTTTCTTTCTTTCTTTCTTTCTTTTCACATAGAGAGTACTAATACGTTTTAGCATGTTTTAGTAAGAGTTACAAAATAATAAACACTTCTATTATTATATTTGAATTTTTAAAGACAAGACTAAAAGGTTTTATTTTTTAGTTAAATGGGTAAGCTTTTATAAAAGAAGAAAATATTTACAATGTCCAAAATTGGACAAATGAGACTTGAGGAACATTCTCCAGAGGCACCAACTGAAGTAAACAAAACAAACAATTGCTTGTCATGGTATCATAACATACATACATCATCAAAATACATACTGCACTAACTATCCCAATCATAACAAGCTGGTCGTAATAGCACTACTCCAGACTTAACTAGTAGCAAGGCTTGGCCATTAACAAATGAGCAGCCTCTGACAAATAACTCCTATAATTCCACCATAGAACTGATATTCCTCATATCTGCTCCACACTTGAGCTTAACTGAAGCTAGTCTAGCTCTTATGCAGTTCTTTATCATTCTGATAACGAGGTAGGGCTGCAACTTTGGCGGGCTAACCCAGCCCAACTCAAGCCCAACCCGAGAATTTGAAATTTGGACTTTAAGTTTATAAATCGAGTTCATGTTCGGATTGGGTTTTGTCAAAACCCAGACATATTCGGGTTGGGCTCGGGTTCAACTCGAACCCAATCCAAAACCTAAAAATGAAAAAAAATTAAATTTTTTTTTCTTTTTTTTTCCTCCGTTCTCTCTCCCTCTCTCTCTTTCTCTCTCTCTTCTTTCTCTCCCTCTTTCTCTTTCTCTGTGTACCGTCCCCATACATTCAAGGTAGCAGTTGCAGAGAGAGACAGCGGTTGAAGCTTGCGAACGACGAACGATTAACGGCGAACTGGAATAGCGAGCGATGAAAACTGAAAGATCTGGGTTTTGATTTTTTGAACGATCTGAAATGGTTGAGAGTTGAGAAACAGCGGTTGAAGCTTTGCCGACGGCGAACGGCGAACCCAATCTGGAACAGCGGGCGATGGAAACTGAAAGATCTGGTTTTTGATTTTTTGAACAATCGGAAATGATATGCCGATATGGGTTTTGAACTTTTGATTGTTGCAGATAGATGAAACTGAAATATATGAGCTTTGAAGTTTTTGTAGTTTGCAATTGTTGCAGAGAGAGAGAGAGAGAGGGGGGAGGCAAGTTCAGAGAGAGGCGACAGAGGCGATTGGGGAAGGCTAAAATGATTTGACCTAAATAAAATATATAATATATATATATATATATATATATAATTTGTTTTTAATAATAATATAATCAAATAATATATATATATATATATATATATATATATATATATATATAAATTTCCAAAAACAAAAAAAAAAATTTAAAACTTTTCAACCCGTCAACCCGACCCAACCCATCCAAAAATATTCAGGCTGGGTTATAATCATAACCCATGTTGAATATAATTCGGGTTGGCCCAACCCAACCCGATTCGAATTGAGGTTGGGTTAGGACTGGGCTGGGTTTGGCCACCCAACTTGCAGCCCTATAATGAGGTAAAAGGGAGATGACCTATTTCTGCATGCTCTTGCATTCCTTTCTTGCCAAATGAAGTAAACAGCTGCAGAGAAGAGTAGTTTGTGAGCGAGCCAGTGGCTATGAGTCTAAGTATTAGAACACCAATCAATGAGCTCTCGCCAACTATTAGGCTTGATGTAGAAACCTGCAGCATGTTGAATGAACTCCCAAATTATACTACTATATTTGCATTTGAAGAATAGATGATCCAAGGATTCCCACTCAGCTAGGCATAAATAGCAAGGATTTGTGTAATGTTTTTTTCTCATTAAAATGGAATCCAGTGAATTCAGTCTCTCCTTGAGTGCCAAACACATAATATGTCCATGCTTTGGATTGTGATTTTTAAACCAGATGAGGTGATGCCAAGCAAATAACAAAGATGGGGGTGAATAATACTCCATTGTGAGCTTGTGAGAATAATCCATTAGAGCATTTGGTAACCATTGGATCAAATCAGGGGTTGCATTTGGGGGTGAGATGCATTGAAGCTGAGATAGGAATGTTTGTGATTGGAAGAATGGATTCTGTTGTAACCAACTTAGGACTGTCCATTGAGTTTTAGCAATTAGACTATCAACCTTAACTTGAAAATCCAACTGTAAAGTTTCACTGTCAGAAAGGCCAAGCTGTGATGATATAGGACCATTTGGTAGCCAATAGTCTAACTATAAGCTAGTGTTCCTTCCATCCCCAACCCAGTGTTTAACAAGTCCCCTAGCCATGTCCCTTAACTTGAGAAGTTTTCTCCAAAACCCAGAGCTCAGTGAAGAAGGTTTGACAATCCAGACACTATTTGCTTTAATAAGATAAGTGTAGACCCAAGCAACCTAAAGGCTATCCTTTTTGATACAAAGTTTCCAAATGCATGTACTTGAGGTTGGAGATTCTGTTTGTCATCTCTGAACAAGGAAACCCAAGACCACCACTGATTTTAGCTCTACAAATAGCTGACCATGCGACCTTAGCACCTCCCTTTCTAATCTCCACACCTGACCAGTAAAAACTTCTAATTATCTGGTTGATCTGCTCAATGACCTTCATAGGAAGAATGAAAGCTTGTGTCCAATAAGCTTGTATGGAAAAGAGTACGGATTTAATTAGGACTGCTCTCCCTGCATAGGAAAGAAACCTTAAAGTCCACCTACCTATTCCGGATGTGATTCTTTGCACCAAGGTTTGGCAATCTGTGGAATTTATAGCTGATGAAGAAAATAAGAGGCCTAGGTATTTAATTGGTAGTACTCCAACATCAAATTGTAACAATGGAGTGGTATTTGGTTTGGTGTGTGAGAATTAACCCCAGCAAAGAACACTTGACTCTTTTAGAATAATTAACAAAAAGACCAGATGCATTTAGAAACTTGTTTAAGGCTGTAAACAAGACTGTAACAGAGGGAAGACTGCCATGTGAGAATAATAGTATATCATCAACAAATGCTAAATGAGTAATACCTAACTTTCTACACCTCCAGTGGTACTTAAAGCCAGGATTCAGTGAAATTGCATTATTGATTGCCAGTGAAAAGACTTCCATTGCCAAAACAAACAACAAGGGTGATAATCGATCTCCCTACCTAATTCCCCTTTTGCCCTTGAAGAATCCAAACAACTCTCCATTCAGTGAGATGGAGTATGAAAGAGTGGTAATACATTGTTCTATCCAGTGTATAAACTGACTAGGAAAACCAAACAAGTATAGTGTGTCTAAAATT